CGTCTAAAGAATTCAAAACATGATATGTGTATTGCTAATTTTGTTTGCCAGAAATAGAAAAAGCTACTAAAAATGAAAACTTCTATATTTGCTTTCTTTACCATTTTTTCATAGTTGTGAGTACGGAAAAAGCTTCATTAGAATGGCAGAAAGTTATGCATTTCATTTTGTATTTATAATAGATGAGGGATTAGATTACGAACGGATCCATACGTCGAAGCCCATGTTAAATTAGACACGAATTATAAAATATTTTTTCCTATTTTAATAAAGATGAAAAAAAAAAAGGTAACGTAATTAGTAAATTTCTACAAAATGGACATATATGTTTCCAAAACATATGTTATTTCTTAAGTATATTGTACTGAAACCGTTTATCTGAGAGTTTCACTAGAAATGTAGATATCCATTTTTGTTATAGCATAGTGACTGCTAGGAAACGACTGAGGAAAAAAAAAACTTCATATTCTTTGTGAACAGTCAGTTTAAGGCACCGACAAGATTCGAACTCGTGTCTCCTGTTTATTCGACAGGCACTTTAAACAACTAAGCCACGGCGTCTTCCGTGGTACAACGCACATCATATGTGGATTGTTTTTAAAGTTTCTAAAAGGAAATCAATTTAGGAGTAAAAATGTTTCTGCGAAAATTAATTCTGAATGACGAATACAATTGATCCATATACACTCTTGAAACGTCCTTTCAAACCAAAAATTAAAATACGCCCAAAATAGGTTTTATCGAAATACATTATTTGTATAAAATGGGGGATAGAAACAAATCCTAAATATATTGGAATATCATGAGATGTATTTAAGATGTGGGCTGTTAAAAAGCTCTTGATCTTCTGTTTACTAAACAATAGTTTGAACCGATTAAGCTAAGGATCTCTTTACCTTTGAAGGAACATTTTATTCTACTTTTTTTTTCGAATATTACTTCATTGGATAAAAAGAACTGGTAGTAAATATATGTAAAAATAATTTTCTTATAAGAAGTATTATTACGGATATTTATTATATAAACAGGTATTTCATGGGTTATTAAAAAATTTTCTGGATGTTGCAAGATGGGGATAACATAAGAAAGAACTTAGTAACTGTCTGTAAAAGGAACAGAAACTTATCACATGAAGATATAAGAAATAGTTATATCCGATATACGAGACGGGTGCTTCCAACCACTGAGTCACAGCTCCCTTTAATTTTGTTGTTTAAATAGGTATGCAATTTGATCCCATAAATTTTTGGAACCAATGATTTAATACATTTTGGAGGAAAAAGTTACATCATTATCTCAAGAAATAGAAAGCTTTACTTGCATTTAATCATTTTTCTTAAGTATTGAGTTAAACAGATCCATTGAAAAATTAATTTTCTGAATAGAATTGCTGTAATGAATAAAATGGAGAGTTAGAACATTATCAATTTGAATAAAAATATTATTTCCAAAAAACCAAAGGAATTCGAAAGTTTCAAAAGAAAAGAATTTACAGTTTTCAAAAATAATAATAATATAAAAATGTAGAAAAATGCATTGAAGCATTGTTTAGTTTAGTTACCAATCCGAAATTAAAAATATTAACAAAATGATAATAACTACATTCTTTAATCCGTCTTCATTTTCGCTTGGCAGCGATTATATAAGGCAACCCTAATAAGATTAAAGTATCTATCCAGATTTACAAAATCTGATTGCCAGATTGGCGCTTTGAGCTCGCACCTTCAGCCGAAAAAGTATTACCGAACGACAGTATAACCGAAAGAATGTAATAATACGATTATGGGAAAAATAAATCCTTTTTTCTTATTTCTAAGAGCAAAATGCACTCGACTGTTCATAATAGAAAGATTAGTTACATCACTGGGGTAAATTTATTCTGTATGTCACTGTACAAAAAATAGTCAGTAATATTATATAAATACGAGTAACTGAAGTTACACAGGTAATCAAAGATATCCATTTGATAGTGAGTGCTATACATACAAACAACAATAAAGAAGTAGAATTTGGGGTTGAAATTCCAACATTGTGCTGGAGTTGAGAATTTTCTTTCTGTTTTTTAAAATGTAGCTTTGCTGTGTGATTGAAATACATATACCATAAATTAGGTTGAAAGTTTATTCCATATATATATATATATATATATATATATATATATATATACATTCAACACAATGATGAATGCGTTGGAAAGGTTAACTTATAATATTTGTAAGAGAAAAGCTGTTTTAAATTTATAATTGCACAGTGATAAAATAATAAAAGTGATAATATATCTAAATTATTCAAATATAATGAGAGGACAATTGCTAATTTTTGTAAAATAATTTGGGCTTGAACGTTATATTTTTTATTGTTTTCGAATATTTTGGGAAAAGATGAAAGTACTGACATTAACTCATTATTAATTAATTTCACTCTTATAAGCAACACGAAAGTTATTGGTGACAGACCTCATAATTTTGAATTTTGGAAATTGAGGATACTTTTTAAATTTTTTTTTATTTTTTACAACCATGCACACGTAAAAAAATGAATTATTTCATATAGTGCAAATATTCACCTACTATTTAAATGTAAATTTAATGGTGGATTGGAACAAAAACTAATGCGAGGATCAATTATTTCTTATATTAAAATTTTTTATTAAATTTATTCTTAAAAGGAAACACAAGTTTGGATGATTTTAGATAGGAGTTGGAGTGTAGAACTTGCGAGTATTTACCCAAACGCAGGCATTGTTCTGTAAACCCATGAAGCACGAGCTTTGATACACATTGAAGTATGTTCACAGAAATACAATTTCATACTTCATTCAGTTTGTTCTGCAAAGAAATGTTGTTTCGTTTGCCATAAAAGTTTAATTGTTAGTTTGGGAAATTATTTTAAAATGTTTTCTCTATGTTTAAATTATAATAATATAAATTATATGCATATATGTTATGAATGTAAATGAAAAGAAGCAAAATAAGAGATTAGACACCCACAAAAAGAACTGGGACTATTGTATTGCGCGAAAAAGATCTTATGTTGAATTCCAAGTAGGTGGAATGGCAACAACTACAGGGTAATATAAATTTTATTTGTGTCATAAGAAAATAAAATAGGCTTAAAGATGCAAAAAAAAAAAAAAAATGCTAAGGTTGTCGATGACAGACGGATAAAAATGACGCGTTTGAAAGACAGAAAAATGTCTTCTGAACGCAACATAAATAACTTGAAGGCTGTCGATGTTTGTGTGAGTTCTTGAACAACATGAAGGGGGTTGTTTTTGGATTTAAGAGTTGGATTCCGAGAAAAAAGTTTTTCTTAATCTACGACAACATTAAAGAAACTTACTTAATGGAAAGGTGATCAATGGAAAGAGATTATTTGGTCTGATGAGAATAAAATATCTTCAATATGAATCGATGATCTGAAATATGCGTGACACAAACCAGGGGAGGAATTACATCCAGATTGTATTAAGAAAAATCAAGCATTCCATATAAATACATGCAAAAGATTTTTATCAATTTTTTTCATTTTTTAAGGCACTGAAAAAATTTATATGTTAAGCCTTGAAGAATATATTGCATATTCTAATTCAAAAAGTCTAATAAGACTTTTTCTTGATTCTTATGAACCCCCATAAATTCCAAATTCCCTTAAATTCCTCCCATTAATTCTAATTTTCTCCAGAATTCTTTTGAAAATTATTTTAACATGCTTGTCGTATAGTTCTGCACTGTACTCTCCCATCTTTTACACTTATATCTAAACAACGTCCATTTGCGGTAGCTAATTGAGCCATTTCCCCGCGATAATTACCAGCCAATAGCAAAACTTCTCAGCAAATATCTCTCTCTCTGCTCAGTCTAAGATTCATTCAAGTATCTACAATACCCGTGTCTTAGTTTCTATCTAAATCAACCAATGGGAAAGCAGCTTCTCATCATGCATCAACCAAAATCTAAAACCAATTACCAGTTTTGTTTTTAACAATTTAACTATGACACGAGCTTAGGGGCCGTGGACGCATTTCAGACTCTAGATTAAAGCACATCTTGCGTGACTGGTATAATGTCAATCATCCCAATAGAGTATTTTATGGCCGTATATGTCAGCAGATTAAATCGATCGATTACAAGTAATTGAAAGAATACTAAAAATATAAAAATACAATTCTGGAACCAAAATTGCTATTTTTATTAGTGATTTATTTCGAAATAATGTTCAATATATTATTGATGATTCTGCTCCTTTCCACACAGTTTAGATTACAGACAAAGGTTAAAAAATGCAATCACTGGATTGGCTAGGAAAAACAGTTCCACATACCCTACAGAAAATTTGTGAAGTTTTCCAGAAACTGTCGTATGAATTTACGATCCCTCAAATAAGAGATAAAGTACAAAGATAATATTTACTTATCTGCTCCATATAATAACAAAATAAAAACTTCCAGAACTTGTCAGCTCAATGAAATATAGAAGTAACTTCATTTTATAAAATGTATTAATAAGAGTTATAAAGAAAGTTAAAGCATATAATCATAAATATTTATAGAATATTTTATATCAGGATTTGACAGAGTTTGACAGAATAAATCTTTATAACACAATTTACTGTTTTCAATATACCTTTTTATTTATGTTTGCATACATATAAGCATATAATCCAAGGAGATTACATTTAATTAATTAAATGGGTGTGGCTATTAAATAGCGAGACTGACGGTGTAAAACATTTTAATTTGATTTCATATAAATATTTACTTATTATCACTTTCAATATACACCCCTCCTCTATCCCTACAACGCTTCGTGAAATTCTTCCATTGTTCGAAGCTTTGCTGAAATTCTGCTTCTGACAGCTCCATCAGGACACGTGTTGCTTTCTTTTTCACAGTTACAACGTATTCGAATTTTGTTCCCTTAATACAGATTTCACTTTAGGAAACAGATAGAAGTCGCACGGCGCAAGATACGGAGAATATAGCGGATGGTTTAACATTGGGATGTTGTACTTGGCTAGAACTCTTTTAACAGTTCATCTATAATGTCTTGATCTTCCACAATTCGGGTCGTGTTTTCCTTATTATTTCACGAAACTCAGCAAGGACGTGAAGGTAGTAATGTTGATTAATATTTTAACCTTCAGGTATCCGGTGAAACAAAACAGTCCAATGAATATTGATTAAAACAATCATCATTTCTTAGAATTTTGGATTTGCTCATTCAAGCTTTTTCGACTCTCGGTGAAGATGGGCTCTTCCAGGGAATGAATTGGTTCTTGGTTTTAGGATCATAAGTAAAAAGTCATGATTCGTCACACGTTAATATTTTTTCTAATAAGTTGAGTCTTTTTCAGTGGCATTCAAAGCTTCAGTACAAACATTTTCGAGAGCTCCTTGTTGTTCAAATGTGAGAATTTTAGGCAATTATTTTAGCATACACTTTTTGCATGTAAAAATTACTATGTAAAATTTACCGTACGGATTCTTTGACAATTCCTACAGTCTCAGCAATCCCATGAATACTTACCAAATACTACTTAAGTCGAACCAAATTACTGAT